TTAGCATGATGAACACACATTATTGGTATGAGTAGGCTTGATAGATAAAGAAGCTAGATTAAGGCTTGAAGTCACGTAATGGATGTCCTAAGCGGTGATGTCATACATCCCTAGGCTGGTGGCTGCTGACATGTGCTACTGGTTATGGGCATGGGGGTGATTGGGCTGAAATGGGCTTCAAAGGGTACAATCCATTCTCAGTTGCTCTGTGATGTAGGGTCACTCCCGACATCTTATCCTTCACAACAAAGCCATATTCATCAAAAACAGAGTAGCAATTATTGTCCTTAGAAAATTGATAAACTGAGAGTAAATGAGCAGAGGGTTGGGGACAATGCAAAATATTCTTAAGGTGAAAAGTGGTATGTGGTGGGTGCGGTGAGTAAATGGTGGAGGGTCCAACATGCAAGATCCTAGCCTTGGCCATTTCCGACTTTCACTTCATCTGAACCTAAGTAAGAGGAGGGGTGAAGTATGTTACCAAGATCTGGTGTAATATGGTGAGATGCCCTGGTGTTGGAATACCATGGTGGTGTCATCAGTAAAGTCATGAGCAGTGGCAACCATGGCCATTAATTTTTCTGGTGGTCGACGGCCCTGGTAAGACAGATTGAGGCGTTGAAAACAATCAATAGCTGTGTGGCCAAGTTTATTGCAAATCTGACAAGTGGATCGATTTGTAGATCCAGATGGACGATTACTCATCGTATGCCCATGTCCAATGCCTGAACCAGACGGAGCAAGTTGTGAATACAGCCGATGGGCCGTGGGGATCATACTTGGTGGGCCTGAACCTGGACGTTTAGAGTTATGATCCATATTTCATTGCTGTTGAGGTGGGCATCGATATTTCATTGCTACAAGGGAGAGTTCCTCTCCTATGATTAAATCATGCAGTTCTTCAAGTGTTACTGCATCTGAGCGTGATCTGCCACGTATTCTGGCTGCAAAGGGTTGGTATGACGGTGGAAAGCCATCCAAAATATATATTTGGAGTTCATCATCTAATACCAGAGAGCCAGAAGTTGCCAATTAATCACAAATAACCTTAAATTTCTGTAAATAATCAACCATGGAGAGAGTACCTTTCTTCAGGCGATAAAGTTGCTGACGAAGAGTGGCACATGCATAGGAGTGGATGAGGCATATCGACGCTCGAGAATTTCCCATGCTTGCCTTGATAATTTGACGCCGACCATGTAAGGGAGAGCTGAGATTGACAAAGTGGGTTGTATCCAGGAAAGTATTATTTGATCACACTCATACCAGGACTCAAATTCCGGGTTGGACCCATCTACAATGGGTTATAGCAGTGACTTCCACAAAACATAATTGGTACCGGATTGGCAATATTGGAGATAACAAGGGAGGACAAACTCATTGAGAGGCCTGAGATGCCATAAGAGATCATAGATTTAGACGTTGTAAAGAAAAGGCTCTGATACCATGAAACTATTGAGAGTTTCGGTGTAAAAGAGGTGAGTGAAAAAACCCACTTACTGGGCAGCCGCTTTCAATTTTATTTATAATGTTTAACATGATGATAGAATACAGATAAGGATACATCAATTATTTGTATAATCTACAACTCTTCTATACATTGGCATGTAGAGACGTCAGGATTGAACATGGTATTCCATACACATAAAGTCCACATGGAAGATGTATACATGATTGGTATCCTTCTGGTTACAGAAATATCCTCACCCAACATGATGTTTTATGGTCAGTTAGTTCGTGATGGCGCTAGCTGTGGACTCTATACTTCACATTCTTCTATTTAGCCCAGGTACCAAGGCTACGTGGTTCGGGTTAACTTCTGTATAAATTTCAGGGTTGACTCCAAAACATGGGCCACTATTACTGCAATGGTGGAGTGCAGTAATATAATGGTACATGATTAATCAGTGTGAGGAGAGAGAGAGAGTGAGAGAGTTGGAGGTATTTTGCATCACCACTGGGAAACAAGAAATGAGGTGATTTTGATTTTGATTTGTTTCATAACCAAATTACAACTCAGACCAATCTCGATCCTTTACTTTATAGAAAACCCAATTTCTTCTGATTTATCTTTAATAGATTATTGTCAAGATCATATGGCCATCTCTTCTTACAAGAAATACCCAGATCAAACCAAATAAAATAGACTGTGTGTATTTGCTTATCTCCAAAGCACCATACCATGTCCATGACTGGAGAGGAGTACTTATGACACAGCGTCTAACCGACTAATTAATGTGCTTGTATCGACTATTGAAGACATTTTCAATTGCCGATTTCAGTCCAATCTTCTTTTACGTGGTTTATAATTTTGAAATTTGGGTAATGTGGTAGGCATTTATTATACTTCTTTCCTTGCCTAAATTACTGTACCTTATTTGAATTTTCATGAATGATTGATTAATAGTAATAATTATAGGCATGATATGAATTCAACGTCTTTCTAGGAAAATTCTCGATTATTATCATGTAATTTGGTGCTATTTTCGTTCTTAAACTTTAAAATACGGTAATTTAGTATTCAAACTTTTAAAACGTGATAATCTCGTACCTGTGGTTAACTAGTTGTTAACCAGTCGTTAAATGATATTTAAAAAAGATATAAATGTCCTTTAAGTGTTATTTAATTTTTTTTATCAACTACTAAAAAGTTAGTAGTCCCAAATCTTTGTCTTTTCCATTTAAGAAAATTGGGGTCACGTTTGAGTGGGCATTTTGGTGGTCCAAACTTTTTTGAATAGAAAAGGCAATGATTTGAGATTATTAATTTTTTGCCGATGTTTGGATAGTTGATAAAGAAAATTAGATGACATTTGAAGGGCATTTATGTCTTTTTAAAATGCCACTTAATAGCTGGTTAACAACTGATACTGGATTGTCATGTTTTGAAAGTTCGGGTATTAAATTATCACTTTCTAAAGTTTGAGGACCAAAGTGGCACTAGGCTAAAAGTACAAGGTACTAATAGGGAATTTCCCCTCAATAATAGGATAAATTTCTTAAACTACCCTTATGGTTTGGCTAATTGACTAAGTGTACCCTTACTGTTTAAAAATTGACTAACACTACCCCTACTATTTTTGGCAATTGACTAATCCTTTTTTGTCATGTCAATAGAAATATGAAAAAGACTATTTTGCCCTCCATTTTCTTTAAATGTTCAAAAAGTGCATCTCTCCCTCTCCCACCCGTTCTCTTCTTCGGAACCGCCAAAAATGTAGATCTCTCCCTCTCCCTTTCGTTCTCTTCTCTGGAACCACTATAGTTCTGGTGGTTCCGGAGAAGAAAACAAGAGGGAGAGGAAGAGATCTGGAGATCTACATATTTAGCAGTTCCGGTGGTTCCAGAGAAGAGAACGAGAGGGAGAGGGTGAGATTTGAAAAATCTACATTTTTGGCGGTTCTGGAGAAGAGAGCGAACGGGAGAGGGAGAGATCTATAGTTCCGACAGTTCTAGCGATTCCAAAAACAAGAGGGAGAGGGAGAGATTTGAGAGATCTATTGTTCCGGTGGTTCCAAAGAAGAGAACGAGAGGGAGAGGAAGAGATCTGGGAGATCTACAGATTTGACAGTTTCGGTGGTTCATCTCTTCTCTAGAACCGATCTCTCCCTCTCCCTCTCATCTTCAATGTTTTTTTTTTTTGAAATTAAAAGGTGTTAGAAACAAGAACAAGTATTATGAAAATCCAAGAGCAATAAGAACAACTAGTTATATTGGGATCAATGGTAGCATGAAGAGAGAGGGTATCGCGTGATTCTTGGGTTTCCGCCAGAACTAAGGATGTTGGAACTAAGATCACAACCTTCTTAGTTATTGGGTTTTCGTCGGAACTGAGAATGTTGAAACTAAAATCTCTTTGTCGGAACTAAGATCGACACCATTGCTCTTAGGTTTTCCTTTGAAATAGATAAAGAAGTAATGAAGAAAAAGGTTATAGGGATGGTATTTTAGGAACAAAAGTCAAAGGGTATTTTTAGGAATAAGTGTGAAAGGGTATTTTAGGAATTTTTAATAAATATATCAGTCAGTGATATCATATGTAACAAAAAGTTAACAAATGTTAACAATAAGGATAGAGTTAATCAATTGTCAAAAACAATAAGAATAATATTAGTGAATTTTTAAACAATAAGATACACTTAATCAGTTAACTAAACCAATAGGGTAAGTTTAAGAAATTTATCCATAACCATAATAATATTGAGTGAAATATTCTTTTGAAATACAAGGGCACTTTAGGTATTTAAAAATGTTTGATAATGCACGGCACAGGGTGAGGGGCCGAGTCTCAAAACTCAAAAGACAAAAAAAGGGGTGGGGGGGGGGCTGTCATTTATTAAAAAGAAATAGATAAATAAACGGATTCCTTTTCAATTATTAATTAATTATTTTAATCCTTTGGGTGCTTACTACTAACTTTTGCTCGTGAAGCGGAGGGACGGAAACAAACAAGCCATTGCCATCAGTGCTGCACATGTCGCGGGGACCACCTTCCACCGATCACCAACAAGACGAGCCCGGATCTGGTGCACTTGTTGGCGCTGCACTTAGAGTTTCATAATTCATACATCGAGTGGAAGTGCACGACAAATGCAGCGCAATAAAAAGTAAAGATATCATCTCCATTCCCAAATCTGAAAATTGACTTCCTTCACCAGTCACTCTAATCCAGTTGATATAATACACAAGACTCAGTATCAGGTTTCCGCCTTGGCTGATCCTGGCCGCCCGATCCTGTCTTGGGATGGATCTGTTGTTTTAGTGGAGGAGAGTGGGGTTATTCCCCTTTTCGCCGTCCTCCTGTTCCTGGTGTGCGGCAGACGTTAGTATGTTGCTCTTGCTCCCATTAACTCCCAACCGACAACCATCTATTCACAGTTCACAGTTCACAGTTCATAGTTCGCGAGATAACTCTCGCTCCTATTGAATTAGGTACAATCACCATTTCACGGTGGCGTGGATTTATCATCCACCGTTAAAAGCGATTGTACCTGCAATCGAAAGTTTTTTCATAGTTCGCACCCTTGACCACCCTCCTCCTGCCGTCCTGCGTTTATATTTGTTTTGCTTATTTAGCAATAATCTTTCTTTATTTTCGGCCTTTTCTGACTGACATTTGCTTCCTCAAATCTCACAACTTTCTAAACGCACTCACTCTACTTTATTCTTGGGTTCGCTTCTATAGTTCCACTTACGCATACTCTCTCTCTCTCTCTCTCTCTCTAGATTCCAGAAGAAGTGCAGAACCAGAATGGGTTCAGTTTCTCTGAAAATAGGCGATGGAACCGCCAGATTCAAAAGAGCTTCTCTTTGTTCCTCAGCTCTCAATGTTATCATGCTTTTCTCCGTCCTCACAACCAATCTTTTCGCTCTCTATGCTTTTACATCCTCCCCCCAAAACCAAACGGTCCACCACGCTCACAAGAACATCTCTTTGATCTCCGAACAAGTTTCTTTGATCCTCAGAGAGATCGATTCTTCGCAGAGGAAACTAGCTCAGATGGAGAAAGAGCTCCTCGGCTATGAGAACATCGATATCTCAAGACCCAACATCGCAAACGAGTTAAAGCTCTTCCTTCAGCACCACTCTCTTCCGCTTGGCAAAGATTCCAGAACTGGGATCACCGAAATGGTGGCTTCCGTCGGCCACTCCTGCGAGAAATCCATCGATGTGTTGTCTCAGTACATGAGTTACAAGCTCGGCGGTGCTTGCCCGGACGATTGGAGTCTCGCCCAGAAGCTGATTTTGAGGGGATGCGAGCCACTACCCAGGAGGCGTTGTCTTGCCAAGTCCGTCTCCAAGGTGGGTCTCTTTCCTTTTCCGCTTTCGCTTTGGAAACCATTTAGTGATAAGATTGTTAGCTGGAGTGGGCTTGGTTGCAAGAGCTTTGATTGCCTGAATAGTAAGAAAATTGGCAAGGATTGTGTTGGATGCTTTGATTTGGTTAATGGGACCGAAAGGCAGAGATTCATTAAGGCCAGAGGTAAGAATGATTTTCTTGTGGACGATGTATTGGCTCTGGGGAGTGGGGGGATCAGAATTGGACTTGATATTGGAGGCGGGTCTGGCAGCTTTGCAGCAAGGATGGCAGAGAGAGGTGTGACCGTAATCACTTCCACTCTAAATGTGGATGCCCCATTCAACGAATTCATTGCTGCGAGAGGGCTTTTCCCGTTGTTTTTAAGTTTAGATCAGAGATTCCCCTTCTACGACAATGTCTTTGATCTGGTTCATGCAATGAATGGATTGGGCGATGGCGGTCGTGCAGAGAAAATGGAATTCTTGATGTTCGACATAGATCGGATTTTGAGGGCTGGGGGCTTGTTTTGGTTGGATAATTTTTACTGCGCAGATGAGGAGCGGAAGAGGATCCTGACGCGGTTGATTGAGAGGTTTGGGTACAAGAAACTGAAGTGGGTTGTAGGGGAGAAGGTCGATGCTGCTGGGACAGGGAAGTCGCAAGTCTACTTGTCTGCTGTTCTGCAGAAGCCCATTAGAGTTTGATGGAAAGAACTTTGTGTTTGCACAGAGGTATCACTGCTGTTGATTTCTATCTTTGTTCACGCAGATTCTGTGTGAATTCATTGCTTAGTATCTGCATGAAATTTCTTTTCCATGTGGAATAAGTGAAGCATTGGCTGTTTCTGTTCCTAACTGCAAACCGGCAGTGGAGGAAAGATATCCATTCTATAATTCAAGATCTTTTGTTGGCGATAATTGAAGTAGGTTAGTTGGACAGTTTTATGTCAATATTTCTGTTTTATTCACAAAATGAATACAAATGTTGGATGTATAACATCTCATGCTGCTTGGAGAAAGAGAACTCGGATACTTGAAACCATGAGATATATGAAAAGGGAAAAGTTGACTAACTTCTATGAAATATGGCCAGGCACGTTATATTCTTGATTTAGCAAGGAGTTCATCTGTTCATGTACCTTTTTTAATTGCATTTTATTTGTGTTAATTGCGCCTCTGTAGCTTTTCAATTGCATTTATGAAAAGAGCTTTTTCTGTTGTTGCACTTCATTTTAATTTGCTTATGGTGCTTCTTGTTTAATGCATTTTTCTTTTAGGCTGAGGCAGAACCTTATGTCTCTCCCTGGGATGCTTGAAAGGCTGTTTATCTATAGTGATTTCAATGATTTTTTTACTTATCAACCCCCCACCCCCGCTCCCTCCCAGCTATCTGGGTGTTGGGAGGGGTAGACTGGATATGGTCCTAACCGTTGGCATTTTTCTGCACAAAGTGGCTGCCTCAGACTCAAACCCATGTTCTCATGCTTGCCAGCCCGAGATTTTACCATTAACACCACAAGTAATGGCCCAAAAAATGAAAAGCAAATGGACATGCTTTCAACACTATTCTATAGTCTGTGCTGTCTACACACTCTCTCCACATGGCACATTAGTCCATATGGACATGCCTTCAACACTTCTATGTTGCATGGAGTTCATTTGGACTAATGTGCAATGCAGGTAGAGCCCTGTTGGCAGCAGAGGATGTCAGATGTAAACAGCCAAAATTTTTCCAACATCCCTGGGGACATTAAAATCAACTTGATTGTTGAATACTTTGCAAATTAAAAGGTATGAAATTGGTCAAAATGATGTTGTATTGGAGCTGAAGCTATGTCACATCACACATCTTGGAAAACACTTTTCCCTCGATTTCATGTTTTAATCAGATACAGTTCTCCCAATCTTACATTCTAGCCCAAAAATTTCTCACTCACCGTCTAAGATATGTGCATTTCACCTTCCATTTCTTCTCCCAGGTCTTCTCCCTTGGTATGGTTGGTTAATCGTTCCAATTTTGAGAGTCTCCAAAGGCAATAAACACTCTTAGCACTGCAAAGCTTCTCAGGCTTAGCTTTCATCACTGATCATTCATTACTGTCATAACAAATAACCATCTGAATTTTCCATGTATTCTGGGCTTGGACTTACTTTTTCAGCAGGTTTACACTGTTTGCTTTGATGATCTTCTATCAGTATTGGTTTTTAGGTAAGGTAATTGAAAAAAAGACCAGTTTGAGTGAGCTGATACCTGGCCTGGGTAACCAATGTTGCACTGATGGACTAGGATCTTGTACCTTAAATTGTATGAATAATGTGATCTTCCATTCCCCCTTATTATTCATGCCTTTTGTACTTCTTCCAGGTTTTTAGAACTGGGTTTTTGCTCAGTGCTACTTTATTCAATTTGTTTGATTTTTTCCTGCAGTTTGAAATATTTTCATTTGTAGCATTCTTGTCATGGGAATTCAAAATTTGAGTTAAATAAAAAATTATTTTGTTATATCCACAAGGATACTACATGTCTCGTGAATCCCAATTTTGGTCCGTCAAGAGAATCATACATCACAGATTACACTTTTACCCAAGCTCCAAAATAACCATGTATACCGGTACTGGTGCAGAAATTTTCATGTTGCCCTTACTGGACTTATGTTTTGAAAGTAATTTCAGGTTACCTAATTCTATTTGAATATATGTTTTACAACCCACCTATTACCGGCCTATTCCATATTGTCCTGCATTATTTTTCATCCAAGAATGGTATTTTGACCCATCAAAGTTTGTTTACATATCATCAGTATAAGCTTGTTGATGCAAGTCTTTTTTTTTTTTTTTAATAATTAACAGAACTTTTTATTAATAATAAGAGAATAAGATACAAGGGGAGGGGTAAAATCTCTTAACCCTCCCTAAGAGTAAACTTCAAATTACAACATTGCCCAAAAAGACTTACTCTTCCCACCCCTTGTTTGGCCAGTGAGTCTGCAAAAGAATTGACACTCCTCTTTAGTCCACTAAAACTTAGTTTCCATGTTTTGGCCTTTTGGGCTGTCTGTTTAAATTTCTTTTTCTCATTTAAGTACTTCCACAAACTGATCTCTTCCTTCTGTAGCCAACTAATAGCCAGCCTAGAATCACCTTCCACTATCAGTTTTCTGATATTCAGCTGCTGGGCTACCCCTTCCAAAACCGTCAATATTTCAGCTCTTAGAGAATCCCCCCATTCAATAGGACCAGAATACATGGCAATAATTTGTCATTCCTCATCCCTGAATACTCCTTCTATACCTGAAGGCCTGGATTTCCTTCACTTCTACCGTCAAAATCCAATTTGGTGAATCCCATAGCCAGAGGGGACCAAACTGGATTAGGGATAGTTTTCAAAGGAGATGACTGTGCCACTTCTTTCCAATTCCTGATAATATCTCCTGCTGAGAAGTCTCCAAATAGCTTCAAGTCTTAACCCAATGAGCCACCCTAATAGAAATTGATTCGATGATGGCATCCTTAATTTTCTTTTTTCATGGAAGGTTCTTTGATTCCTTTCCTCCCAAACTATCCAACAAATAGCTGTTACGCATCTCTACAGAATTTTACCTCTCATCTTTAACCCTCTAACTGAAGTAACAAGCTCTGCACATTTATAGGGGAGGTCCACCTGCAACCAAATAGAGAGAAAAACCAACTCCATTATCTCTGAAACAAAGGGGCAGGATATCAATAAGTGATTGCAGCTATCACCATTATCCTTACATAGGATGCACCTGTGCGGGGATAAACACCAATTAGTCCTTTTTCTTTGAAGTAAATCGCAAGTGTTACACTTTTCTAGGAAAGCTTCCTAGCAAAAGGCACCTATTCTGAGAGGAATTGGTCTACCCCAAACTTCCAAGACTGGGAAGGGTTGTCCATAGATGCATTTTCTGAAAAAGCTTGTTGATGTTACAGACTTGCAGCATCTTCCCTTTCAATTCAAAGATGTATTTTCAAATTATTTTGCTTTCTGATCTGTATGTCTGAGTATTTTTCTTTCTTCCTGATCAATTGACATTTTTCATCCTAATATTTGGTTCTTTTGGTACTTGGTAATCTTCATCATCATTTAAATAGGCTCCTACTGCCCTAGCATTTGGATGTTTTAGCAGTATGGTGAACACTTGGATGTTGATCCAAGACTTGTTTCTCCTCAGCAAGCAGTCATTAGTTGTAATTAGGTTGTTGCAATCAAAATAAAACTGTGAAGGATTTTTTGACATATACAAGCTAGTGCTACACATTGTCACGGGGCTAGTGACAATGTGTCAGCTAATGAGTTACACGATACATTACTTGCACTAGCCCCGTGACAACATGGCATAATGAGTTACACGATACATTACTTGCACTAGTTGGAAAAGTGGGCAAGGAATCATGTGTCAGCTGCATTCCATGGATCCTCACTTTCGAGTTCAGTGCAAGCTTAGAAGGAACTACACAGTCTCGAATGAATTAATTCATTAAGTTATAAAGTTAGGTTGCGTAGGAGCTAATCAGAGTGGAGATACGAAGGATTTAGAAGAGCTAGGAACTGGGTTGAAGTAGTAAGAACTGATTTGAGGGCCCAAAATAAAACAATGGATATGTTACTGAACAGAGTAGAAAGGTGGAACAGGACTCCTGTGGCTAACCTTATATAGTTGGGACAATAGTTAGTTGAGTTGAGTAGAGGGCCAAGATAATTCCATCCTTTTCCTTTTGGAAAGGGAAGGAAGGAAACGAATGAATTAGGAAAAAGGAAAAAAGATTACAATTGAGTATATCTAGATCCCTTAGCATCCTCCCCAAGATCACCGAGTAGGGGTGTCCACGGTTGAGTTAATCGAACCTTGGCCTTTTTTTGTAAACCGAACTGGTGATGTCAGTTTTTTCATTTTTTAAACCGAAACCGAATTGGTACCAATGGTTAACCGGTCCGTTGGTTTTGGTTTTCAACTGGTTTGGTTATTCGGTTTTTTATATTTATAATATATTATATAAATATATGTATAATATTATATTATAAATAATAAATAATAAATGATATAAAATATATTATAAATATTTTAAAAATATATAATATATTTATAAATAGATCATTATAAATATAATATAAGTATGTATTTATATATAATAAATATATATTTATATATAATATATAGAAAATATGCGACATATATTAAAAAAATATGTAAAATATACATATAAATATATACTGGTCGGAAACCAAACCAGTCTTTCGGTTTTTCAAAAATTCTGAATTGAAATCGAACCGATTGGTTCAGTTAACCGCATTTTGCGGTTCGATTTTCTCGATTTGGTTTTTCATGGACACCCCTATCACCAGGAAACTCATTTGGATAAGTTTATCCATTCGACAAGAAATCAGCAGCCCTATTTGCTTCATTAGAGAGAGAAAAATCCTGCTTCACATAATTCTTCCACCACTCTTGTCATGGCCACAAGTTCTTGTGGTTAAATACAATCAATAGAAAGCTTTGATTCAAGGAGTATGAAACTTTAGTCAAGAATCCAGTCGGGGGTATTGGGAGAGATCTACAATAGTTGCAGAAGTGAAGATTTTATCAGTTCATGCATCTTTTGAAGTCCTCTCTGAGTTGATTGGATAGATTAATTAGCGCATGATGCAATTCAACAAGCTCACATAGCCAATTAGTCTGTATTCACAAACTTGGCATGTGTATTGTGTAAGACTAAGACACGAATTTAATTTGATCTGTCCACTGGTCAAGGCCATTTTTTTAGGGGTGAACAAAACCCGTGCATTAGCCCAACTCGTGGGCGACGCGTCAAGGCCCCAATGACAGGCTATTGCGGAGCTGGAGCAATCTCACGCTCTTCGATGGAATATCTTTTTGATATTCATGACCATAACGAAGACAGAGAGGTAACAGGACTACAGGAGTGGGTAAATAAGATGATTAGGTGGTGTTTGGCACGGTTGCCGTTTTAATGCTGCTGCTATTTTACCTCGTATCAATCAGTACTCAGTAGGGCAAGTAGAGTGGGTTAGGCTGTATTTGTATTCCGTGTAGACTTGTACATTGATGGAATTTAACGCAGATGGGCTTAAAATTTCAGTGAATCATTGGAACTTTTTTAAAGTGACAATTGATGTAAATAATACATGTATTTACATCAATTATCATCTAAAATTCAACCGATGGAGAGCTTTACATCGATTTAAACTTTATACCGAAAGCAAACATGTAAAAATACAGATAAGGAGTAGTAGAGTTTTACACTGGTCTGTATACCGAAAGCAAATATGGACAAATGCAAACCGGTGGTAGAGTTTTACGTTGATCCGGATAATGACAGTGCATAAATGGTTCATGGTTAACCCTGAATCCTGAGCTCACCTTCAATTCTCCCAAGTCCAATCTTCGAAGTGCTCTTTGTAACATTGCTGCGGTGTAAAATCGCTTATGTTTTTAATTTTTTAGAAGGACACAGGCATTAGCAAACATATTATGTTGCATTTTTTTTTGGCCCGTTTCCTTCAACATTCTGATAACTCGTGCAACGAACGACTGAAATGCCCAAGACCACCTTAATAATGCTTAATAGGAGGCATAAAGGTAATTGGAGGATTGATCAAGGGAAAACCTCACTCCAACCCACCTTACAAATTTTTACTTACTGTATACCTACACTAATCCAAAACTTTCACCCTTGTCAGTTGTCACTGTTTTTCAACTATATTACACGGTGACACGGTGAAGTTAGGTGGGGGGATAAGTGAAGTTTGGCCTTTGATCAAATAATAATCACCTCGTATTTGAAATGCCAATGAAAATTAAATAGGGAGAATGACGGCTCAGCCCAGCCCAGCCCAGGGTTAGAATTTGTAGGTCTAAATTATTGTTGGGGTAGGTGTTAGTTTGGAATTGATGTCAATTTACGGGCGGGTATTGGTGCAGAATATGGATTGTTGACATTTTGAATATTTATACCTCTTCAGTGGAAATCAGAAATCTGCATTGGGCCTGTCAATACTTTTCCAAATTAAATACAAGCCTTCACTTGGTTTTGGTGGTGGTTAGACAAATAGGAGGATCATTCTTTCAGGCCATGATGCGACTCAAGTAATGAGCTTGGAAGCTTCGACATAGGAATGGCAAGGGGGCTGGTTCGGGGTAGGGACCATACTCCCCATCTCTTGCCATGATTTTGAAATAAATCATTGTCCCCCACCCCAATCTCTCTATAGGAGACAAATACATACACATTCAGTTTTTCAAAAATTTCAAACTGAAACCAAGGTTCAAAATATCGATACACCAGTAGGGGTGTATCGGGTGTTTCGTTACTTGTTTTTTTATTATTTTTTCAAAATTGGTTCAGGGGATCCGGTCTAGGACCCCTCCATCCCTTGAACCGGTCAGACCCCCGATACAGCCATTGTAGGGGCATATCGGAAGGGTCCCAGAATGATACTTTGAACCTTGATTGAAACCAAACTGACTGGCTTGGTTAATCAGATTTTTCAGTTTGGTTTCATTGGTTCACCTCAGTTATTTTGGTTTTTCAGCTTTTGACAAGCACCCCTACTCATTGGGGACCACTGTTTTCAAAACCAGACAGGCCGGATGGTTGGACCAGAAAAACTAGGAACCGGTTAAGTGACCGGTTCTGTTTTCCCCCAAAACCGGATTTCCCCCCAAAACCATTGATTTTGGTCAGCAAACCGCTGAATTGGACGGTTAACCGTTTGAACGGTTTTGACCATTTTTATTTTTTTGATTTTCTTGTTAGAACGGGCCGAGCATTCAGTTCAAACAGTCAGACCATTTGACCCAGTAACTGGACCCCTGACCGGTCACCGGGTCGGTTTTAAAAACCATGTTGGGGACTTGAAGCCCCTAAAATTTTAATTAAAAGATTTTTTCAAAATAATGAAATATATTTACTTAAAATAAAAGAATTTTTAAAATATAAATAATGTTTAAATATATTTTGATATATGTAATATAAATAATAATATATATATATATATATATATATATTTAATATTTAATATATATGCCCAGAGATTCAGAGTCGGGTAGAGCACGGGTAAAATACTAAAATTGCCATCTCTACTTGGATAGTCTCATCATTTTTTTGCTTGCCAGGAATCCCGTCCGTTTGCGGCTCAAAAGTCAACACCCTTCATGGATTGTGGGTCAAAGCTCAAGGCATGGCCGAGGTACAGAGGGGACAATCCATGCAAACATCAAAATTTTCCTAGTGGTAATAAATTAGGGGAAAACAATAACTTCCAGCTTCAGCTTATACGACATTAGTATTCATCTTGGATGTTGGCTCCAGAACAAGCGTTAGAAGATTGTCGATCAGAAACTACTGTTATTTGAAGTCCAAACAGCCCCTGTAACCTACTCTGTTCATTTCATATCTAGGCTATATGGCATATGCCTTAAAAAAGACCAGGAGTTACCAATTTATCTGTTTTCACCTTTTTTTTTCCTTCTTTTTGATTGAACTCAACAGTACAGTTAATATCATTTGTTCCATACAAACTTTGAAACAAAAATAAAAATACATTCTGGATAGTGGATATAGTGCGCAGTATATGAAAGTTTTATCTTTACCTGAATAATATTTTGATACAACATTCTTCGATGACAACTCATCATTTGAGAATGAATGTTCGATTTGTTCAGCTTAAAACAAGCTCAAATGGGAAATTTCCTCCATTGAGGTACACATTTTAGGTTGATTGACTTGAAAATCAGGAGGTGGTGCCATCCCAAACGTGACCACCATCTGATAAATTCTTAGTCCCTTGGCATGTGGTGTTGTTAAAGAGTTGCATTCCATCTTCACTCATTTGCTGAACTTCAGATGGTGACAGAATTCTGATGCAGCGGACACAGCTAACGAACTCCCTGTATACATAAAAATCCACTTGCTCAGGATCATGGGAGACTATAACACTGGAATCATGCCTATATATAAGCAGTCTTTCAGAGCTCTACGAACACCAAATGAAGTACGCCTAATAAAATGGCCTCAATCATGCTATATATAGGTAGGTATGCCTTTTGAATGGATAAAAAATTGTTTGTCAAGAAAAATCTAAGATGGTGTGGTTGTGATCATTTTTTTAATACGCTCGTCTTCACAAGTAAATGCACCTAAGGTTTGAATGGAGAAAATCAGTTTGTTTTCTGCACATTCAATTTCAATCTACAAAAAACTAGCAATAGGAAGCTTCAGACTTACTCCCATGGATCATCCCCTACAAGAAGAACGTCATTCTCGTAATCCACATACACGAGTTTCCACCCTGACCCTTTTGGGTCATCAAGCAGTCCCTCGAGTCCAAACATGCAGGCAATTGCAGATCGTAGTTCCTCGTAGTTTTTAAACCTTGTAACATCAATTGACCTCCCAACTGATCCCAGCTTTTGGATCTGGCATACCAAAATTAATTCAGTAATTGAAGAATACAAATAAATAATGTTTTTGGACAAGAAACCAGATCATCATCCGTTTAGCAAGTTGACAGTATGATCATCTGAAACAAATAGCCCTTAGGCACTAAACAAAGAGTCGGTATAAAGCCATTTAGCAAGTTGACAAATGTACAACACACTAGGTAGCAGGTAATGGCTCTTCAGATATGTACAACAAATGTCTGGACAATGCCCCAGTGGATTGATGTTCTTCCAAGGAGATCCAATCCTAAATGACAAATTTTGTATAAGGTTCCAGTTACATACCTTTGTATATGTCCGCAGAGGTGCAGAAACTTGTTGCCACGAGCTTTTCTGCATAAGACTACCCTCATCAAAATCAACATTGCTTGAAGATGTACCACCCGAATTGTCTGGTAGCTCTTGCAGAGAATAGCCATGAGAGTCTGCAAGGCTGGCAGATGTTATCTGAGACTGAACATCCTGGCTTGAACTCAAGTTACCAACCTGACAATCAGAAGGGTTCTGGAAATTGGCATCCTTCAATGTGTTAAATTGCTCCAGCACGGAGCTTGACACAGAAGGATCCATGACAGTACTTCCACAGTTGCTCACATCAAAATGAAAGCCATTATAAAGCTCACTTTGATTGTTACTCTCCTCAGAGAAATCTCTTAACCCACATGAATTAGAAATACTTGGAAGAGCAGTCATATCTTGATGAGTGCATGTAGTAAGCTGATCTCCTTGAGATAGATACCTAAGATAATTGAGCTGTGTGCCCCACATTTCCTGACCCAATGGAGGCAAGATGGGATTAACTGCTTCTGGGAAGATAACTGAAGTATCTTGTTTATCACACCCAGATAGAGGAGGTCCTGGTGATTTAAAAATCCCAGCAAGAGACTGAGAATTGGAAGCTTGCAACATCCAATCATCAGCATCCAAGTGCTGAGATGATAGGAGACCTGGGTATGGGAGTAAATTGTTTAGGTTATTTGTGTCCAATGGTGGTGCATCAATATGTGGGAGGGTACCTGACTGTAACTGAAGTGTAGCCTGGTTCAATAGTAATAGCTGGTTTGCAAGGTTCTGAGGATTCAAAGCACTCCCACTGAATTTGTCTTCACTGCACTTTCCTGAGGCAGTCAACTGGCTTAGCTGATCAGTTGCAACTACAGGTGCCACTTCCAATTCCTCAGTATGGATCTTCGGTGGTAACTGATTTTCAAATTTATCTAGAGATTGCTCTTTTTCAGATATACGTGTTTGTAATGCAAAATTTCTATCTGCTATCTGTGTTTGATGAAGGCATTGCTGATGAGGGTTCCTTGTTTGCAGCAAAGAATTTTCTGAGGGAACAACATGAGGTTTCTGTTGGATTAATGTCTGTTTTAATGTTTCTGCCTCTGGTACTGGAGCTGCCTTAACTACACAAGGTGGTATAACAGAAGAAAAGGCACCAGTATGATTAACACTTTGAGATTTAAGTAGCATCTTCATGAGTGACTCAGAGCCTATACTTGGAATTGGGGGGCATGGGAAATCATTCCCACCTGCTACCCGTGTAAAAGGTCTTTTGATCAGGTTTCCCCATTCAGTCTCTGCTCCTGGTAGAGCACCAACAGTCAATTGAAGAAAATCTCAAAAACTCACCTACTTACAAAAGAATAAAGATCGTGTACTTACCTACAAATCCAGGATGTAATGGTCGTTTAAGACCAGAAGGGAAAGAAGGGAAAATGAAAAGACTTTCGGGGGTCTCAATTTCCCATAAACTCACTCTGTTATGCTTCTCAACACATCCAGGCTCATCCCATTCAACCTGATTATGGGACAAAAGATTCAGTTAAGTACCAAAACAAAACCAAGTCCATGTATTCATGGTTCAAGGAATCTCAGAACCACAAGTTTGTTTAAATTTTGTATTTTGGGACTAGAGTTACCTGTAGGTTCCGCCACTTGGAACCAGGCCACCGCAGTGGATCCAAGTCACTAATACCAATGATTGTGCCCATATATCTGCAGAAAAGGAGAGAATGTTAATCCATGTAAGTCTATTAAATACTCATAGATCATAACCAGGACAAATATATTAGTAACAACAACATATAGAAAGGGACCATTTATATTTTCCAACAGTGGTAAGACTTGAAAAAATAAACAAAAACAAAACTAGTTACAAACAGGTTACAAGAAGTATTTGAAGATAAAAGGCAGAGATGGAAGAAGTGTGGGATGTGGAAGATTGGTAATTTAAACAATTACCTGCGCTTGCCTGACTCCTCTGTTTCAAACATCATTCCAAATCTCATCCCAATTGACACCTGGGTGCCATATACAGCTTTTTGGTATTTAGCTAAGGGAATGACGAACTCAGAAGGGCATGCCCTAAACAGAATCACAAGATAAAATGATGCTAAAAATATAAGGAATATGATGAAAAAAATATAAGGAGAGAGAGAGAAAGAGAGAGAGAGAGAGAGAGAGAGAGAGAGAGAACAAGCATACCTAGGGTTATAGAAAATGGTAAACGGGCTTCTATTAGCGGCAGCATGAGCTGCAGCTGCAAGGACTCCAATGTGCATGCTATCAGCTGAGAGAACAGAAGATGGCAATGCTGTTTGCTGACGGTTTGCACGTCTCACACCCAGCAATAACTGTGACTTCTCATCTCTTTTTTGTCAAACAAGAAGAATACACTACAGTGAGACAAAAGGTATTTGCCACTATGCACTTGGTGCCATACAAGAAACAATTCAATCTAACTATGATGTCACAGTGCTTTGAATAAATGAGATAAAGAACCATTCAACCACCATATAAAAGTTGGCAAAAGGATTTAAACGTGAAACTAAGTATAAATGCCACCATAAGACATCAATAGGTTGGACTTCATGGAATTTCCAAGAAAGATTGAAAATCATGCATTTGGAACAAGTATCTACCCCTACCATATATACTTCATTAACTTGACCTGATGTGCTAAAGCAAATAGAAATTTTCAAGTATAAAAATAAGTATTAAATTATATCCCTGAAGAAAAACTTTTTAGAATCTTACAAACAAATCCCTTAATTCTATCAAGTATCAACTATGTAGTGTTGTTTAGAATTAACAAACCTTATTGGCATGAAATATATTGGAATATATTGCAGAATTGTATACTTGAAGACAGCAATTTAGAACTAGGAAGCAAATTTGAAAATTACATTCATGAAAACAAAAGGTTGATTAGAATCAACAAGTCTTATTGGCATGAAATATATTGGAATATATTGCAGAATTGTATACTTGAAGACAGCAATTTAGAACTAGGAAGCAAATTTGAAAATTACATTCATGAAAAAAAAATGTTGATTAGAATCAACAAGTCTTATTGACATGAAATATCTATATATTTTCCAGTGAAAATATCCACACACCTCTTCTCCCTGACAAATCAACTTGGGAAGCAAGAAATATGCCATGGTCTGTGTTTGGATCAAAGTTGCAAAATTTCCCCAGTTACAATAAATCGAGACATTGACATTGATTACCAAATAACTTTAGCATTGCTGCCTGTGTAAAGTCACCTAGCCAAAAGACCACTAAGCCTTGTGATCAGGGAGTCAGGGACTATCAAGTTATTGGTTACTTTTAATTTGGTAGGTCTAAATAAATGGCTTCAATGGTCTAAGAAGAAACATCGTGGGCATAATCTAATTGCTTCATCATTAACATAATGTTAATGCAGCAAAGAGGTTGCAAATCAAAATTTAGCTCTCCCACAGGAAAGGAAAGAGACATGAAATTACAAATTTGATATCAGTTTTGAAGTTCATCTGTTTATGAAAGACAGTAATTCAATTTAGACACCCAGAAGCATTAGTTATTACCTGATAAATAGAACAGCATCGCCAGCCCTAAGCCTTTTTGCACCCACAAACAAACTCCAACCAGTTGTGAGGAGGTGTCGTTTCGGCTGCCCTACATTGGAAGGAAAAAAAAATCATTTGATATGACAGAATTACAAATAGACACTAGCAAGTTAAAAACTTTATTGAACAAGTATAAATGCTACAGATTAATCACAGGGGGATCATCTTACGCCTTCTAAATGTCAAAAGAATTCTTATTGCAGAAGCACAAGAATTACAAAAAGAAAATATCTCAAAAAGCACCCTTACCACGGTATATGTGACGAAATGTCCATGTATTGTCATGCAAGTCTCGGACAACAAGTTCCTGAGTTGGAGGCTGCATTGTATAATCCTGGAACACAGAATAAAAGGATAAGATGGCTATAATTTTTGGTTGCACCATGAATCATTGCCAGTAGAGTATGAGGCTTCTTATTCAACAAGGTAAAGGCCTCACCAGTGGTGGGAAAAGCTTTTCTGCTGCCCTTCGGGGAACTGAGAAGCCACCATGTGTACTTGTGTCACTTGCAGTCAGAGTCTTGCAGAAGAATTCACTGGGATGCTTGCTTGGCTTTAATCCAAAATCTGGAATAGGGAATACATCTTTTTCCTGATAAAGTAACAAGAATTTGTAGACATAAAGGTTATCCAAAAGTCAACTATTCATGAGCCTCTTACATTCAGGAACCCCAAATTTTTAGTCATTCAATTATAACAGCATTAAATTGTAGTTTGTTAGTAATTGAAAACTTCAACTGGCTTACAGAGTTCACAGGCTGCAGGCTCATTTGAGCATAGATCTCATCCGTATCCTTGTCTGCCTGAAGATGAAATTACATTTAGTAGGATGAGGAAATCAGAAAAAGAGCTTCCAAGAACACACAGACAGATCAATAAATCAAAATTTAAAAGAAATTAAATAAAATCAAACTGAGGAAGTATAATTTCCCAACACATACATGCAATGTAACATTGTGAACCTGGCACATCAACTGGGATGGAAGACTTGGGTAGTTGGGGATATGTGAGGTTATTGTTCTTTTAGTTGAAACTGCCACCTGCCATCACAACTTAAAAATGAGATAACTCAAATCAACTTAACTCAGCCTTCATCCCAACCATTTGGGGTCAGCACCACTCAAAAATGAGTTGATGTAACTAATTGAAGCATGTAATAGAATGAAAACCAAACCCTAATTATGTCAAGTATCAACGACAAGGAACTTAGAATTAAGTACATAAGCAACAGTGTACTACAAGACAAAATAAACTGTGAGTTAAAATGGTGACAAACCATAGAATTTCATCCTTTGCACTTTTCTTCAAAGCAAAAGGGAAGAAGGTAGCTGATTCACTTGGTTGATCATAAGATTTAAAGCCTTAGATGGTTCTACCTTTTACTTGTATTTCTTAATTATTCTTCTGCATATGTTGCTGATCAATTAATGTTGAGGGCTGAACTTGAAAAACAAATATTTATAGAAATATATTCGTCTTTATATATGACATTGAACTTTACAACTTACAACTACCCACATACATCTGGGGACAACTAAGGCAATTGAAACCCCCCCCCTCCCCCTTTCTAGAAAAGGTAAGGCATAATTTAATCCTAATTAGGGTACAACACTCAGATGTTCCTTGTTAATGTGGTTCAAGAAAGACAAAGTCCTTAGAAGACTAATTGAATAGTCGGCTAAGATTGATAAAAAAAAAAAATGTATTAGTTGATCAGTCAGGAAAAGGAAAAAAGTGCCTAATGTCAAAATGAACCAATTGAAAATTTCTAAACAATTGCTTTCAGCCTTCTGACTCATATTGTATCTTAAATGCATGATTCTCATCTGATGATGAGGCCTCTATGGTGAAAAGGACAGGGACAATGGATCATATGATAGAGAATGAAGGGAGGAAGAAGCCTCGAGGGAATTGAAATTTTTGGGCGGATGGTGGACAAAAATACAGGGACAATGGGTTATTTGGTAGAGATTGAAGGAAGGAAGAAGCCTGGACAGGTTTGAAATTTTTAGGCTGGTATTTTTCAAACCTCAGTGGAAGAAGTTCACCAACCATGATAATGTCAAGGTCAATGGAGTTAAACTCATCTTCATCTATTCTCTCTTCATTAATTCATCAAAATTTTGCACAAGGAGAACTCTTAAATCATAAATGATGATTGCATTGCACAATTGGCATTTTTTTTTGAATATTACTCCATATTAACCTCACTCTGTATGTCTCTAATCATGTTTGATTCTTTATGCATCTCTTCTTATTTACTTTCTTAAATGTCATACAGCAATCGTTCCTTATAATCATCACATTTTTTTTATGAATATCGTTCCTTATAATCACATTATAGTATCCTCTGGTCAACTTTATTTGTTAGACGGTATATAATCTCCAAGAGAGCATTGAAACATGATTCTACGAAATAGATGAGAGCAAACCTGTTCACTGTGTCCTTGGGGGAAGTAGTATACGAGGCTCCCGACCTGAGGCAAAGAAACGAGAGGTCCAGCACAAGCATGCCAAAGCTCGGAATTTATAGTCTTCTTCACACCTGAAACGACCGAGAGGCAAACCTATTAAAACTAATTTTGGAAAACCAAAATGGAAGAGTGGGTGATGAACATGAGATAGCTCCGAACAGTTTAACGAAGACAGATGCAGAAGGAAGGAAAAGTACAGAGAGACTGATCTTATTAATATAAATGTCCAACTCAAACTTATCGGTTTGTCATTTGTGATTGCAAGCTCATATCCACGAAGCTGCATTTATTACTAGGCAAGCCAAAACAACTTTACAAGTAAAGCACACTATATGTAAAACAAAAACACATTTTGTGAAATGAACTTACCAGACTGATCCTGAAACTCCTTCAGAATCTTCATCTCCTCCATTAGAGTTGCTGTCCCATTTATCAAACCTCCTGGTTTAATCTTCTCTTCGACAGAGGCCATGCTTATCTCTACCAAATCAGAGAACACGCAGCAGAAGAACTCATCTTCACTCCAACCATCGCCGGTCAAAATAACAGTTGCAAAACAGCCTCATTTGATTTGAGTCCATAAAACACCAACCCACGTCCTAAAATCTCATCTTTCTTCCCAATAAAAGACGCAGTATTTTCCCCAACCTACGTCACAAAATCTAACGTTTCTTTAGAAAAAAACCGAGAACTCCACTACTCACCCCACAAAATCTCATCTTTCTTCAAAAGAGCAGGGAAGAAGCAATATCCAATTCGACAAAACACCACACTCAAAATCCAGGAACTAGGAACATAACCTGCAAAAGTACTGAAATCTAAGTTGGTCTTGGACAATCCATCAGAGAAAAGCAAGCTTGCATCACGCACGCGGACCGAAGCATGAGTGGTCGAATTCTCGAGTGCTTGTTTTTCTTTTTATCTTGTGCCAGGAGAAAAGAAACCGACTTTTCAATGAAGAGTGATGATGTTGATTCCTTTCTCCCAACTTTGCCTGTCAATGAAACAATAAGCCTCCGTCTCTCTCCTTCTCTTTGATCCGAACAGAAAACAGTGCGCATTCTCTTATCCTACGCACTCTTCCTGTTTATAGAGAATCCTTTGCAGCTTTAAACTGGGAGCAAGAGCGAGAAAGCAAAAAAGAAAAAAAAAAAAAAGCAGAAGACGAAGAGAACACGAAAACAGTACGAGAGAGAGAGAGAGAGAGAGTTTAAACAAGTGGGGGTGGCCGGGTGGGGTAGGAAAGAATGTCAAGGAGGCGCACTTTAGCACGTGTTTTACGAGGCTTGCAGGGTGTTGGCCTTCTCGATCTCGACCTTGGTTTCGGTTTCGGTCCGATCTTCACCTGCTCTTTGTCTTTTGATGGCAGTTTCTTTTGTTTCTCTCTTCTCTCTATACTCTCTCTACACAGTGCTGTGCTGTGCTGTGGCTCCTGGCTTTCGCTTCTGAAATTTGACCGTTCGTCACGCGTGTGATTCACGACAAATAAATGGGAGGTGTACGTCGTCTAAAGTCGACACGTTGTCCTCCCTTTCTTATGACGCCGACGGATGCGTCCTTCGTATGCATGCACGCCTCATGCTCATGCTATGTACATGAAACCCTATCCACTGCTTCATCTCAACTCAACAACATTTTCCTCTTCTCCCCCCACCCCCCCCACGATCTGTTGACCAATAACTCCAAAAAAAAAAAAAACATTCTTACCAAGATATCAAGCAACCCAACCCAAGTCAAGAGTTACGCTGACTTACCTGCTAATCCATGCTTGACATCAAAGATTCTAATCCAATGGCGATGGAGTCTACAGTTCATACTCCATCTATATGGATACATACATACATTCCATAGTTAGGTTAAAACTTACGACAGTTTTGGTCGTTGGATTCAACTTTGATATTGTGGGCTGAAATCTGAATAAGCGCATGCGTGTGGATGTGAAATACGATCGGACGATCCGTGTTTGGCGCTGAAATCGAGCGGCACGCGGAGTAGAGAAATTATATATATATATATATATATATATATATATATATATATATATA